GTGTTTGTAGGTCTCAAGAAAATACTATTTTTACAAAAATGTAACCCAAGTTTTTCTATTTTGTAGCTGATTGCTATTCCACTCTGTCTTTTCTATCAGCTATATGTGTTCTGCAAGTTTTGTATAAGGTACTGTTGCACACTTTAGTAAGCTTGAGTCTTCAATTCTCCGTGATGGTCTACTGCCTCATAGTGGCGCGGGGGTGACTCTGGGTGTCTGCAAAGCACAGCGGAGGTTCTTCAGTACGACCTCCCAAGCTGAGAAGAAGTTCGGCGTTAACGGCTCTCCGGATGCCCAGCTAAGAGTAGGCCATACCAGAAGCCCCACGTCTGGCTGATTCAGTCGCTAGGTGGCTCCCTAATCCATATAAGGTAAGCTATTGCCTGTGGTGAAAGCTTGGCAGGGCCCTGGCAAAGCTCTGCTCTTATGGGGAGAAGTCCTACTGCCCGTACAGCATGTAAGAGAAAAAGCAGTCCTGCACACTGGATTACATTTCGGATTTCATCAAGACCAGTGTTAGGTTGCACAGGATGCCATGAGGAGCAAAAGGGCACGTCAACAACTCGCCATGGAGATTATCGCATGCTCTGCGCTTGCAACGCCAGGACACCACCATCTTCACGCCCTCCTCGAAGCTGTAGGGCGCATCAACTACCACGTAATCGCCTTGCAGGAAACAAAGTCCAGGAAGACGGACGTGAGGCAGATGAGTGATGGCACACTCAACGTGGTGAAAAAGTTCCATCACGGAAGGTTGGAGGCATTGGATTTATCGCACCATCTGCTCCATCTTGTCAATTCGCATGAGATTCTATAATCTCAAATGGCTATCCTTCGACTTGATGTGAGGATTTGGAGGAAGTTATCCACAAAGAGAAGTCCTACAAATTTGTCGTGGGTGCTACGATGCGAAACTAGAGATGTCAAAGGGGAGCATAGGATCGGGAGATTTGGATCAGGACTGAGAAATGAGAATCTTGTTGGGCCCTTATCCGCAGCGCGACTTTTTCATGACAATTCCATCTTCATGAAGAAAGAACACCGGCGGTGGACATGAGTCACCCAACATTGCCACTCATAGATCAACCATATTTTCACCAACCGAAGGTGGTGCTCAGTGGACGTCTCAATGGTACCAACCTTCAGCAGTGGTTCTCGTCCTTCGAGCAAAAAGCGGTTCAGCGGAAAGCTGGAAAAGAAGATCTGTCACCGTGTTGGAGGAAGGAGGGAAGTCGTACATGACGGCGTCAGATAGGAGCTCCTGTCTACTTGTGACCGGCCCTTCGAGGAGGAC